AGCAGGAATGGTACAGTCCTGCTAGGTATATGTGGGCGAGTATCCTTGAATTACAGATAGAAGAATTAAAACTGACACAGAACTATCAAGCACTGATCATCTGGCCCTTGTTTATTCCTATCTGTTTGTAATTTCTAATATAATCTAGGAGTTAAAGTACTGACACATTCCAGAGGAGCAAAATCCACACAGAACATTAGGAGAGAAACATAAATGAATTGTATTCAAATTACTGTAACAGAAGTTACTGTATTTCTTGGAACTACTCACTATGGCATTAGCAACTTGTAACATCTCTTCAAACAAAGAGTCTTCCTGTTTGTGACGTCCACTTGTATCAACAATGATGATTTCAAAGTTTTCATTCTTAAATTTCTCAACGCCTTCTGAGGCAATAATTACAGGATCCATTTCTGTATAACTGATCACATAGAGAAACATATATATATGCACAATTCTTTGTTCCCAAAGAAATTAATTCAAACTTTCAGCACTTGACTGTAAACTTGTTAACTGCAAATTTATCTGGATTTCAAGAGGGACTTCCTCTTATATCAAGCAAAAATTGATTAAAAAATATGCCTTCCTAAGCCATTTGCCCTTACTGTTCAGTGAACTGAAGCACAACGAACTCGCTGTCTCACCTGCTAAAGACTGCACCAAGTTCTACTAGCCCCTCTGAAATAAGATTTAACTGAGCACCTAGACAATATACCTCCAGTGAAGCTTACAGGAAAGTTATTTACTGCTTTATAAAAGCTATTTTAGGTCCACTGTTGCCTCTACTTGCCAATAAGAATTAAGGATTCAAAAAATCATATCCTTTGGTGTGTAAAGATACTTCCTGAAAATCTGAATGTGGCTGGTAAAGGCCTATAAACTGTTATATGCTGAGCAAGTGTTCTGGGGAATTATCCCCCGATCTCTTCTTACACTATCCCTACCTGCTACTACTGGCAGACAATATATTGAACTAGGCACAATTTTCATCTGATCAGAGCAAATATTATAATAAAATCAAAGTAATTAAGCAACACCGGATGGGGCTTAGTTTGAGATGTTCAATAAAGAATAATACATCACTGGAGTTGAATCGTTCTCCAAACTTACTCTGAAAGATGCTTACCTCCCATAAAAGGGAATTCTTGCTTTCGTGGCATTCTGCTTTAACTGGTCAAAAGCACCTGTAAGACAGGTATAGTCAAGGGACTATTTAAAAAAATCTTTAACACTTAAAGAGCCACACCATTCAAGACTATTACCTGCTCTGTATGTGTCTGCACATATTAAACATGTCTTCCAACCTTTCCTCTGATAGAAGTACGCTAACTGTGAAAAAGAAATCCAAAACAACTAGTTACACCAAAACCCCACTAGAAAGCATGACATTGTATAACAGCTTAAGTCACTGAAGTACATACAAAGGACAAAAAGACAAGCCAGCCTTCCTATAACTGAGACCACTTAGTAACACTGTACACCTATCAAATGTTAGTATCTCCATTATTTAGAAAAGTATGTTATATACATAATTATTAATGGCAAGATGAAAACAGCTGCTTGATTCTGCTCCTGATGTCTGTTTCCTGAGCTAGGAATGACTACAAATAATTCCAGTTCCCATTTTACCAATTCCTGGATTCTGCTTACTGTTAATACTGCAGATAGGACTAGCTTTTAGGAACTACTCAAAGCAGTAACTACTTCAATATTAAGTACTGTAATGGCTACAATTTGTACAGCTCTGTTCCTGTACTTCCAGAAGAACAAAGATATTTCCATTGCAAGGACATGTTCCAAAGCAACGGATGGAATCCTTACTTTCTTTTAACATTCAGCTTCACTGGTACAATGTACATTTGCAGAACATTCAATTTACCAAAGACAAACTTCCAAAATAGTTTGCCTACAGAAGCACTAGGAAAGTTTTATGAAATTCAGTGTAGACTATATGTGAATCTTAGAAGCAGATGACCAAAAAAAACCCCAAAACCCAAAGATGCACCAGTCTTTCCATAGCACAATTTTTCCTCCCAACATCATAAATACGCTGAGTTGATTCAGAGCATTCTTTTTTAGCCTTAAAAATACAAATCCAAGTTTCCTCAATTAATTTAGGGCTAGAACAGGTTTCACACAACCCCCTCTCTGCTGGTTCTGGCTGGGGTAGAGTTAATTTTCTTCTAGTAGCTAGTATGGGGCTGTGTTTTGGATTTGTGCTGAAAACAATGTTGATAATACAGGGGTGTTTTAGTTACTGCTGAGCAATGCTTACACAGAGTCAAGGCCTTTTCTGCTCCTCACACCACCCCACCAGCGAGTAGGCTGGGGGTGCACAGGAAGTTGGAAGGGACACAGCCAGGACAGGTGACCCCAACTGTCCAAAGGAATATTTCATACCATATGACATCATGCTTAGCACATAAAGCTGGGGGGGGAGAAGGAGGCTGACATTTGGAGTGATGATGTTTGTCTTCCCAAGTAACTGTTACACATGATGGAGCCCTGCTTTCCTGAAGATCACTGAATACTTGCCTGCTGATGGGAAGTGGTGAATGAATTCCTTGTTTTGCTTTGCTTGCGTGAGCAGCTTTTGCTTTACTTACTGAACAGTCTTTATCTCAACCCACAAGTTCTCTCACTTTCACCCTTCCGATTCTCCTTCCCATCCCACAGCAGGGAGGAGTGAGCAAGGGGCTGTGTGGTACTTAGTTGCCAGCTGGGGTTAAACCACAGCACACTTATACGTAACTGAGATATCTAACACAGGGGCCAACTTCTACTGATTCCCCTAAATAGGTAATAGAATGAGATAGTACTAGTACCATTCTTCGTACTATTCTTAAACCCAGAAAGCGAGGAATAGAAAAAAATCTTTGTTATCCACATACAGTACTGTTTCTTCAAGAGTTTAGTTTAAAAAAACCTTGAAGGAAGTGCTACAAACCATAAATTGCCCCAAAAGAACAGGACATTCATCTTATCTCAGAAACCATCCTACAAAAATACCTCTACATTGTAATCAGTTAGTACTTTCCTACTAGTATGAACAGATCACAAGCAAATCCTACTAAAGGAATCCAGTGACCACCCCCAACCACCAAGAAAAACACCCATGCAAACAGATTCAGTGCAAGTTACCTTTGAACATGTCGTTGTTTTACCACTTCCTTGCAAACCAACAAACATTATAATATTCTGTTTTCCTTTGGTAGGTGTCCATGCTTTGACTCCAGGATCTACAAGCTATAGAACAAAGTACAACATATGTTGCAGAACTGAAATTCAGAAGCACACAACAGTCAGTCACAGTCATGCTAGGTGCCTGGCTTTCAATGGAGCAAGCCAATTTTTGCATGTTCTAGTCTTAATTTGGCTTAGGTGCTTGCTGATTTACAGTGACAGCAACAGCCTATGCAAGCTATCTATAGTATATAGTCTAATGCATAATAATCCTGTAACAGTAACAGTGTTAATTTCTTTCTAACCCAAGCACCAAAGTCAGGGTGGCCTGTGTATAATGGCACAAGTATAACAACACACACAGACACATGACCTCCACCCCACCATCTCTGCTCAAGATGGATCTCTTCTGGTGAGAATCCTACAGTACAGAAGACTTTTTAGGGTTGCTGCCTCACTACTCAAATGAGCAGAAGATACATACATTCCAGCCAGCCATCATATGGGTGGGCACCCGCTACAGAAGAGCGAAAGACTATAGTGAAGACGACACAATATTGACACCAAGGTGCTGATCTGACCAAGCAGGCAGATTAAAGTGAAATGTTGCCATGAATTTCTGGATTGTTCCTCAATACTTTCTGAAAGGCTTATAGCTTGAACAAATCTTCATTTGGGTACCAGAGGCATGTTTCTGGGACAACCAAAGACAGTCCAGAGGCTAACAGTACTTTACCCTTATTTTGTCTTTAAATTTCAATTGAAGAGTAAGAATAGCTAGACTTGAAGCTTAAATCAGTTAGTCTGAGAGATACCCAGGAAGTAGTTTCAATCAGACTACTATTAGTGTCTGCAGTAGTAAGTAGCCTTAAAACAGAAAACATAACTGTAGGTACCTCACAGTAACATTAAAGCTTGGCTTGTGACTGTACTGCTTACACAGCCCAGGCTGTACAAGAAAAGTGACGTAATACAGAATTTTCAAGTCCTACCTTAACAAGTTCCTTAAAGACAGCATGCTGAATCATTTTTCTTTTGTTAAGGCCAGACGCCATTTCTTCAAGATCAATTGCAGACCTGAGTTTAGGAAAACCATGAAACACTAATATAACTTAAAGAATCACTTTAACCTAGTCATAAATTAAGTTTTTGCAACTGGAGTAGCACACTGATTTGCCTTGAGTTTTCAGATAGGACATATGTAAGAAGAGACACATGCATTGAAGACATTACTTATGTATGCAGGACAAAACCAGGTTTCTGAAATACTTGCATCTACTTGAATTACACATCTGAAAATAGCCAAGGTAACACTACTGGTCATACACACAGATCTATTTATATCCAGCACAGCACATGTGAAGATGAGGTGTCTAGGAAGTAAAAAAGAACTTGTTTATCATACCACTCAACTGATGAAAGCAACAGTTTTTTGAAGGAAGACTATAACAGCAATAACTGTCTAAACTTGATGAAGATTCTTTTGATGGAATTGGCTAGACATTTACTTAAAACTGAGTTTCCCTGTTAAAGGTAAATTGGGTGTGTCTAACAAACTATATAAAGATGGAAGTTAGTTATTTTTCTGTAACCTCAAATTACCACTTTTACAAACATTAGAAGTTAAATGCATTTTATTTCACTTACTTGACATTTTCTCTGAGTTGCTTCACAAGTTTAATATTAACATCAGCTTCCAGTAATGCTGTACATACTTCTTTTAACATAGCATTTAAAACCTTTGGAGTATAAAGGAAAAATGGTTTTATAATACACAGTATTGACTAGGCCAGTATTATTTCAAAATATGAATGTGAAAGTGTATTTATGACACAACCAAGGCTTTTACAAATTAAATGCATGCAGTCCTATCATTATACTGACTGCCACATAAAAGAGTCTATGCATTTGTTCCTGTGTAAATGCAATTTAAATTTGAAAGGGTAACACTGGAAAAGAAGGGTCCTCAATTTGTAATATGCACACTATAACAAAGTAACACAGAACACTTCCTATTGCATTAAGGTCAACAGCAGCAGCTCATATGGTAGCAAGGCTTCCTAAACTTCCCAAAGAGTAGTCCTTAGAGACAGTTGTAACTGAAAACCACAAAAGAATCTCTTAACACAACACAATCTCCGTAAATCAAAGTATTCCTTAAATGCAAGATGGACACACTGCTATCTGCATTTTCAGCAGAAACCAGACTGCTGCTCTGAGGTATGCCTTTTAGGCAAACAGGTGTCTCAGGAACCCAGTTTAGTAGTTCTACGACTTTTCAAAGTGAAAAGTCTTGAACAACAGGATTTTTTGAAAGTAACACCTGCATAAATGGCTTCATTTGCACAGCTTGAGCTCTTGCAGAAGAAAAGTTTCTACTGGTGAAAAAAATTAATTGGGCTGTATTTGATTCAGTTAAGGATTTGATTCTCCCAGCTGAAGATTTATTAAAATCTTCCCTTTATGCGTAAGTTCCAACCTTACAACCCTCAATAAGCCTACTTTTTAGATACTATAAGCCACTTGTCTGCCTACGTGAACCGAGTTTCTAGCAATTTATTTACTCAGAGGCACTTCTAAACCATCACATCAGTTAGTTTTCTATCTTGCTTTTCAGTCCATATAACAGAAAACATTTATAATTTCAAATTCTTCATTAAAAAAAATATAGACTATACCAAGTCAAACAGCTTCCAGAACCATACACTGTATTGGTCTGAATATAAAGGCAGCAAACTTTAACACAATCCTCACATTTCAGACATCAAAGTTTACATTGAAAGCTATTTGCTCTTCCATGCTTCAGCTTCTAGCAGCCTAGAACACATCTTCATAGTCTGGCTGCGCACACACACGTAAATCAGAACACCCTACGTAGTCTCACAGCCTACCTTCCACCCAAACTTAGGCACATACTGCCTCCTCCAGCATTCACCTTTTCAGAACACTAATCTCTGCAAGTACAGCCGCTAGGCTCAAGGACCCTTTGACCCTGGGACCCATTACGCCCAAAGTGATTATACATGTCTAAACCTCGTTCTAAGTTTTTGCAGTATTATTAAGGAGTTAAAACCTCTAGCTAGAAATTTTACTGGAGAGAAGAAAAGAGCTTTGGGATAACATGAACCTACTTCAAGCTTCTCATCTGCCTTTGAAAACTACTTCTCAGAACTTTGATTTCTAAGTGTTAGTGCCTTCACATATGCATACTACATACCTCTTCATTGATAATCGTAGCATTGCTCAGTGAGCGTAATGCTGAAGTTATTTTTCTTCCAAGGTCTGCTAGAACCATTTTGGCAGCTTCAGGTACAACTCAGAAGAATCTGGAAAACAATTAAAAATTAAATTTAAAAGCAGTTGAAGCTATGCCTTCATAAATTAATTACTGCAGTATCTTTTGGGTTAAGAAACCTGCTTTGCATTCCAGAAAGCACACAATTTTTACTTTTTTTTAGAGTTATTTTTAGGAAATATTGACCCAAAGTTAATTTTAGGCTATCCTGATGGCCTACTTAAAGATACCACACTGCAATTAGGAAGCATTTCACTGTCTGGAATATTTGTGCATTGAAGTCGCCATGATAAAACAGTCCAGACTTCCAGAAACAACGCTAACTGCTTTTTATCTTATCAGGAATACACTACATGACAGAATAAAAATCAAGCAGAATAGCATAGAAGCTCTGCATCCTGCAAAGACAGTAAGGTCAGAAGTAAAATACTTTGCTAGCAAAACTGAACGTTATTGATCTGTTCTATTTTACCTACCTTACACTATATCAAACTGAACTTCCCATTTAAGCAACCCTACAAACATAATTGCATTTTCATAAGCAAAATTAACATTGTATTTTTTAACAGCTTTATTGGAAAATGAGACTATTTTTGTTCACTACAGGCACAGATCTTACATATAAGCCTAAAGCATACCACAACTTACAGTTAGCAAACCATGAAATGTTAATTTCTGGAGGGTACGCATAGTCTAGTCAACATGCTAAACCACTCCACCTCCTATACAAGGTGGCAAGATATTCAGGAGTACACACGGCAGAAACAGCTATCTAAAATTCTGAAAAAGGGCAAACCAAAATTTGTCTAAAGAACAAGAAAGTTGCAACACCATAGTTACTGATGAAATGGAGCACCTCAGATTCTTCTTGTTTATCTTCAAATTTCACAGTTGTTTTCTTGTACCCAGCCGAAACTACTCCCTTGCTGATAGCTGAATTCAGAATCTCACATTTGAGTTCCTCCTTTCAGAATTGAAAGCAAGCTTTCCAATAATGACAGTTTCTGTAGTCAGAGTAGCTAATAGTTTTCAAGATTTTCTGGACTTCCCCCCCTCCTCAAATGGGTAGAGGAGAAAACAGACAAGAAAGGCTGGTCCATTTAGTAAAATGAAGAATACATCATTAGCTTTATTCTTATTTAATTTAAGAGAGGGCTCCAACCTAGGTAAAACAGAAAGAAGCTCATTATATACACACTGAGATTTATTAGCTGCACAGGCCCTGAAAAGCAAGGCTTACAATGTGTTTATAAATAAGTACAGAGCTATATTCCAAGGTAGACAAAACAAGTCACCCCTGTAAGCCAACCTCCTGACTGCTTTGCCTAGTTGAGAGTTAATATTGTCACAAAGTTAGCAGGTTAAAAAAAAAAAAAACACAAAACAAATTGCCAAGTCCAACCCCTCCAATACTGAGGCTACAATGCAGAACAAAGTATCCAGAAGTTTCAGAAGATGTGGGATAAATAAATTCAGTCTAAGTACAGGCCTCAGATGCAGCAAATGATGCAAATATATTTACACATTGTAGATTTAACATACATTGTACATACAGGCAATTCTAAAGTGACATATATTACCATGCCGTCTCAATATTTAATAAAAAAATAGTCTATGGTTCCTAAGGAACTCTGTCTGTGAAATATTTGCAGATCAGTATGCTAACAGATATGGATGTCCATCTATGCTGGAAGAGGACTTCTACATGACATCTGAAGTGGGAAAACTCTCAGTTTTCCTTACGGGGCACATTCTTTCAGAACAATTCTGGAAAAGCATTATCATCAATATGATCTACTGAATTATGTCAGCAAAACAGATGTTCAAAATGTTTTTCAAGCTCATTTCCCATAGAAATCACAATAATGCAAAAAACCCACACAAACACTTTAAAAATAGCATTGCATCTCAGTACACTTTGAGCTGCTAAATCTGCAGCCATGGACAAAACCTAACTAGAACACTTAGATACAAGAGCTAAAAAAGCTGACAGAATGACCAACATAGAGCTGCCAGGTGAACACTCAATATTTAAAATTAGTTTCCAGAGTTCTACGGATCTCCAAATACAGAGAGTTAATTATGTCCTAATAAACAGAACTCCAAAAGCTTCTTCCAACAGCCTTACAATAGAATAATGCAAATAATATGCTAAGGGGATGAGTTTAAGTATTTTAATATCAACTGCTTTCTCTAGCACATTAAGAATTTATAAGGCATCAGAATTACTAAGGGATGCCAAGTACAGAAATGAATGTAACTTTACACGTACAGTCAATCCAAATTGTGAGCCACACTAGAGACAAAAAGGCACTTAAGCTGTCTTAGCAGGTAGCCAACTTAGGTTGGCAAGTAGCCAGAACAGCATTAGCAGTGACTGCACTGCAGAAGGCATATATGCTGCGTTCAGAGCATCTGGAGTTCTGGAAGAGCTTTTTAGCTTTGATGCAGCATGCCACAAACGCACTGAACGGGTTTAGATCTGGCAGAGCCCCATAGTAAACAAACCAGGCTGTATCAAGCAGGCCTCGTGCTGTGGAAGGCCATGAGCTCTACACAGTCTGAGCTGCCTTCAGAAGCTGCCTGGGCATCTCCAACCTGAGTTCCCAAGTCACCATTCTACTGCACAGAGTCCCAAGACCTCTTCACTTGCTGCTGAAAGGCTGACACTTCAGGAGTAAAGGGGGCAAAGGCAGCATTGGGTTTATTTTTAAGCCATAGCAAAACAGCAATGAAACAACTCTGAAAAGACAGACTGCCTACCCTTGCCTATCCATCTAGTATAAACCTCTAACCAAAATTTGTCTAGTTAAACTAGCAGTACTCTTTAATACATATAATTTTTAGAAGATAGCAGCTTTAACAGGTAACAGCTGTTTAAACAGCTGGTTTTAAACTAGAACAGCTGTTCAAAAAGTAACAAGCAAAGAGACAAGTCAAAGTCTGTACAACAAAGTTATACTAAATACATACATACACAGGTTAAAATCTGCTGAAAGTCTAGTACTGTAATGCAAAAAAAGGCTGATTCACAGGTAGAAATAGCTTCAGCTACTGCAATGACACTCAACCCCAACTTACTGATTTCCACCGTCTAAAATTAACTGACACAGAGCCAGGAGGGCACCCCCAGGGCCGCAGCAGGGACCGGCTACCCCGCTTACGGCCTGAATCCCTCGTTTTCGCGGAAAAGAAAAAAACGCTGAAGGCACAGTCTTAGCTATACGCCTGACCTCCGCCTTTCCCGTGCATCCAGGGCTGGCCACAGACAACGGACTAGGTACCGGGCTGGGCAGCTCCCGCCCCGATGACGCGAACGGCCGGGGCTCGCCCAGAAGCCCCGCTCCCTCGCGGCCAGGGTGGCGCAGCCCAGCAGCGGCTCGGCAGACCGTAGGCCCCTGCCCACCCC